AGTATTCGTCGTGGCACATCGCTAGGTGCCAGCTTTGATCGACCCGTATACGCCTTAGTGGCCATATTGCCTTAGTGGCTTCCGTTGTTCGCCTTCGTGGCAGATTCCCCTGTATACGCCTCAGTGGCGAAGCGTTATTGCCTTTGTGGCAGATTCATAAGGATACGCCTAGTGGCGCACTGTTAGTTGCCTAAGTGGCTAGTTCAGTGGCTCGGTAAAGTAAGAGGTGCACTTTGCCGCGTAGCCAATTTGGGAGATCCCTTTTCCACGCCCGCGACTACTCGACGATCCCTGGACGATCCGGTGGCGGCTAGCTAAGCAATCGGGCTCTAATCGCAGCTCCCAATCCCAGCAGAGACTCCCGATCGATCTCTTCGTATTTTCTTTTGTCTGTGCCTCGTTATTATTTTATTGATTCGTGTTTTGGTTTTTGTCGATAAATCTATTTAATACTCTGCGTCCTTTGAGTTCGAACCGTATCTCGGTCAGATACCCGGGTCAGTATTCGGCTTACATGGGGGCCGAACCAACTGACTGAGAGGCCAGATCGAGTTCAAAGGACCTATCGATTATTAATTACATCCGGGCTAAGGCAGGAACGCCCGTAGTGGTTGCCATATCGATTGTAAGTCGGGCTAAGATAGGAACGCCCGTAGTGGTGACCATATTGATTATTGATTAACATCTGGGCTAAGGTAGGAACGCCCGTAGAGACACGACTTGGACAAGAAAGGGGCACAGTGCCTGGAGGAAACGTTTCAAGGTTCAGGAAAGTATAAGGAAGGGTGATAGGTGTATTGATCACTACCTAGTGCGGTGGTATCTCAGTGTTACAAAGTTGCTAGTTGTCGTCGCGATCGATCGTTATCGAAGATTATTGCTCGTGAATTGATTGACACGACAATGATTGAAGAATTGATGTCTGACGTTTCCAGGTCGATAGTGCCCACGGTCGGAGAGAGTATGGAAACAAGCGAAAATATTGAGCCACCGAGTCAGGTAAGAATTCGAGTTCTACCTTATACGAAAGAGAGATCAGTGGGACGAGGCGTGAGTAGTAGCGTGCTTACGGCAGTTACAGGAAAGGATAACTAAGAAAGTAGGTGACTTGAGGGTGTCAAAGGAAAAAAGATTGAGATTGAGATAGAATTGCTAGGTGTATAGAGAAGGGGGAAGAGACTGCGGGCGAAGATGAAAGTGACCTAGGACTTCCTCGGGATCTAGCGAACGAAATAAAAGACACGATTAGGCAGAGAGGAATTGAGTCGTGTGAGGATTGGAAGGATTATGTGAGCACCATGGAAAGAGATGGTTAAATTTTAGCGGAAATTCGCGAGCTACTAAAAACGGACGTGTTGCAGGTAAAACAAAGAGTGGAAGCGCTTCAAGAAGCCCTCAAGAGAGCAGAGACGTCTGATTGTGGTAAGCCAAGCATGGAATCATTTATAGAGACGAACCAAGGCAGGTATATCTCAGACGAACGTGTTACAGAACCCGACGTATTCGACTGGACAGCAGTGTGCAGGAGCTTGGAGTGCACATTTGGGGAGCCTCACGAAAACGGAGCAAGCAACGCCCATTGCGGGTGAAGTTGTTGTGCAACAATTTGCGAACTATTTGAGGGCTACGACTTGTCCAGACCAAGGAATATTCAAGGGTGTCAAAAATTGAGATTTTAAAGAATTTATAAGAAAATTTAAGAGAATTATGAGGATGTAGTGGGGTGTGAGTCGTCCGTAGTAGAGATTTTGGGCGATGATCATTTGAGCGATCGGGCAAAGAGCATGTTCATGGCATTGCCTAGAGCTGTCAAAGAGCAGGGATTTGAGAGAGTGGTCGCTGAAATGGCCAAGTTGTTGGCACTTGACTCAACTGCGGGTAGGCTCAGAGCCTTGACAGAGTTGAGGAAACTGAGAATACGGCCAAATCAGGATGTTTCGGAATTCTGCGTGGTTCTAGGAAAGGCTGGGGCAACAAGCAAACCCAGGAGCGACAATAGAGGACCGGTCGCTCGAATATGCCCAAATTCTCTTGGACAGTCTCAGAGACTGGCCAGAGCATTTCCAGCTAGTGGGAGTGCACACAGGGTGGAGCCACACAGGGCGTATGATGAGGTAAAACAGCTGGCTCTTAGCATAGAGCAATCGAAGCTAATGCTGAAGGCTAACAGAAGGCCTCCCAATTCTAATTGGAAGAACAGATTCGCGCAGTACCGGGGAGCGCAGGAGAGCAAGAGCGTAGACTATGGAAGGGGTGCAGCCCGACAAGAGTATGGTAGAATGGAAACACGCAGAGGGGAAGATAGTGAACGTCATGACAGCTTCCGGAAGATGACGCAACTAAGCAATGCAGGCGCGAGACAGGGTAGTGAGGTCAAGAAGTGCTATAATTGCTCGCGGTATGGCCATATAGGACGCGATTGTCCTCAAAGGGTCACAAGGGTGAACCAAATTGAGAAGAAGGAACAGAAGGAAAAAGGGAAAGAAGCTGCCGTGTCAAGCATAATTCACCAGGCACGTAGTTTGGGGATGGCGGTGAAGGGTAAGGAACGGATTGAAAGTGCCCTAATCGGGAACAAGTTAGTAGCGTCAGTACGTCTACTTGATGGGAAGAACCCAGCATTGATCGACACTGGGATCAATGATCAGCATCGTACCGGTGGAGGTGTTAGGCAAGGCATTAGGATAGAGGATTCGACGTGGATACCTTGAAGCTAGTTGAGAAAACGCAGCTAGTCCCTGTATACGATGCATCCAATAATGAGATGGAGTTCCTTGGAGCCGTGTATATTGAAACGGAACTGGAGGGAGGTAATCGCAGTGTGGTGCCTTTTCACATTAGCCCGACTAAGGACGAGGAACTTATTCTGGGCACCAATGCTCTGGGAAGGTTAGGGATCAAAGTATCCGTAGTCAGCAATCATGAGCAAAGGGGCTCACAACAAGAAAAAGAGGAGATAGAGGAGATGTGACAGTGAAGGAGCGTGTGTATGTACCGCCTCGTAGGGTCGCGCTCGTATCAGTGCTATGCAGTGGTGACCGTTTGGAAGAGGTGGAGCGAGTGATTTGGCCTACCAAGGAGGGGGTAGCAGCCGGCGTGTACAGTATCCGAAATCAGGAAGCGGTTGTGCCTGTCTTCAATAATAGTGATGAAGGGCTGGTCCTCAAGCAAGGCGAAGAGGTAGGGCGCTGGGGCACCGACAAGTGGCATCAGCGATGGGAAGAACTCAACCCACTGAAGATGGATAATGGAGAACACAGGTGGCAAGGGCAAGAAAGGTTAGAAAGGTTAACAGAACTGATTGAAAGAAACACAGAAACAGGACATCTAGATGAAGGCATACGGATCTATTAACAGTACATCCGGATGCGTTTGCAGTATGTGAGAGAGAACTTTCTCAGACAGATATGACAGAAATGTCCATCGACACGGGAAACAGTAGCCCTATAAAAATGAAAGCAAGACCCGTTCCGTTAGGGATCAGACCGAAATTGAAAGAGCTTTTGACAGACTTACTAGATAGGAATATAATCGAAAAGAGCAAGTCGGAGTGGGCCTTCCCTATAGTTCTAGTTGAGAAAAAAGATGGTTCCATTCGATTGTGTGTGGACTATAGGGAACTCAACAAAAGAATAAAATTAGACGCCTATCCACTTCCAAACATAGAAGCTGTCTTGCAAAGTCTCGCAGGGAAAGAGTTTTTCTCGACGTTAGACCTGTGCAGCGGATATTGGCAGATCCCCTTAGCGGAGGAAGCCAAGGAAAAGTCTGCATTCGTAACACCGGACGGTCTTTTCCAGTTCAAAGTCACGCCGTTTGGTCTGAGTACGAGTCCGGCGGTGTTCCAGAGACTGATGGACTCTGTCTTAGGAAATCTTCTTGGCAATGAGGTCTTCTGCTACATCGACGATATAATGGTATGCACATCAACGAAGGAACGTCATCTTGAGCTTCTAGGAGAGGTGTTCTCAAGGCTGAAGGCAGCAGGCCTACGTTTGAAAGCACAGAAGTGCTATCTTCTCAGGCGTAAAGTTACCTTTTTGGGACATGTTGTCGACGGACAAGGAGTTCACATGGATCCGGAAAAAATCGCTGCCATTAGGAACTTACCCCACGCCAAAGAGTAGTAAAGAATTGCGAAC